GGGAAAAAAACCAACCTGGTAATGAATTTGAATGGCTGAGATATTTCAAACTTAGGGTGGAGCAATGTACAAAACGTGTGTATCATTGGGATCAGCCTTAACTGGGGAGACTGATGGAGCTAAATTTTTAAGCAAATGTGCGGTTAGCAGGAGCCAAATTTAACAACCTGGACTTTTTAAATTTTAAGCTGCAAGTAACTATACCTCATTCAGGTTTCAGTGTTGAAGAGACAATTATAGCGTGTCAATATTGGAGGAGGTGGAGTGCTAGGTGTCTTCATTGTAAATGTGAAAACTGTCATCATGCCATCTATAGTATATAAAACATGGAGTAGGGCTCAGGATGGAGTCCTCAGGTTCAGCATTCTGACATGGGAGAAGAAACCATTGGATTATATTTAGCTCTAACCAATATCTAGAGTTAGTGTATTTTCATTTATTAAATCCAATGATTCAACACATTTTCTAAATCAACAGACACTGCAGTTCCATTTTTGATCCAAACTAGTTTATAGAGTTGTCACAGTGTCTCCTAGATGGAGAGAATTTTCATAGCACTGCAGCCTATGCAGGTAGATCTTTAACAAATTGATAAATAGATGATCTTTATCTCTACAAGTTTATTTTCCTCTCTCCTCCTTTCCTAGCCAGTAACAATTAGCTCATTGCCAGAGCCTAACAGTTGGTAGTCATACTTTGGTAACCCAGACAAATGGTATTTATTATTGTGTAGACCTCCGACATGCAGAAGAAGCCAACTTTAATCAGGGAAGGGATGATGGTCCAGTTCTTACGCACACACCATAAACATGCAGGAGTCAATCAATAGTAAGTGGTTGCAACAACTTTGCCATATCCTTCTCCAAAGCCAGGCGTGTTGAGGCTTATGGCTAACTACTAATTTAATGCTATCAGCCAATTCAGCACAGTCCTGTGATCCTATTGAGATCTGCACAGCTTGGCTATTCAGTGGATACATTCACTGAAATCAAGTGGGACCATATTTCTAATTGCATACTGTAATTGCACAGATGTCTGTTAATCATTTACTTTGCTACATTCTGAAGTTATTCATGGAAATCTTGATGCTCCACATCCACAAATTTATTCTTTTGTTATTGGGTGTTGGGCATTTGACAGAATATTGAACCATTTTGCCACCCGGAGAAAATAAGTTTTGGTGAAACATTCCTAACAATCATTTAACCACCTATCCAACTCAATAACAAATCTTGTGTCTTACACCACCTTTCAGAATTCCACCAGCACCACCCACACTAATAATAGTGTGCTCTGCATCTCTGTTGTGAACAATTAAATTAAGTTTCATATCTGGGCACAAGCAAAATAGGGAAGATGCTAGAAATCAGAATTATAATAAAATAAATACTGAAGATAAGCAGCAGGTCTAACATTACCTGTTTCTCTCCTCAGACAGACAAAGTTAACATTTCAGTTCAATGACTTTTCATGGGAACTGGAAAATGTTACATATGTGAAAGTCCTTAAAAATACAGAGGAAGAGGAAAAGGATGTGAAGGTGCTTAAATATACAGAGGAAGAGGAAGGGGACTGAGCTAGGGTGGGGGGGGAGGTGGGAACAGAAAAGATTGTGATTACTTAGAAGGAAGGAAAGTTTAAATGATAATGGGGATGAAGATGGAAGATAAAAGAGATAGTTATTTTACAAATAAAGAAACAAAACATAGGTCTAGAAGAGGTGTAAATAGGAGCACCAGAATCATCATTCACAGCTGTCCTTTGAGGACAGTAATAAGGATGATCTGACATTTTCGGAAATGTGAAATTATATGAAATGTCTAATCAAATGATGACATGCTATTTCTTCAGTTTAACCTGCTGAGTATTTCCAGCATTCCCCATCAGGTATGGATTGTTTTGTAAAGTGTGTGCAATGTACTTCCATTCAACCTTGCCCTTGTTAATTTATTTCTACAGCTCCTTCTCTTGTGCCTAAGTATGTCGTATTTAATTGCACTTCCCTCCTCCAAATGGCACAATTATTGACAAAAGGCTGCTGCACTAAATTAATTTTGTTGGTTAACCTAATCCTGATTTTCTTCCTAATCCTTTGGTGTACACCAATGAATTCTGATTTCTCTGGGAACATTTGAAGAAATGAGACAACTGTTGTGCTGATGGTATGTTAAGAACCTACAGAAGCAAGAGATTGCGGTTTCTAATTTGCACCTCCACCAAAGGTCTTATTCAAGTGAAGAACTCACAACGTGGAAAATCTGAGATGTGCCCATGGCTTTACTGCACACTTTTATCCGTTGCAATGCCGAAATTTGCCATATCCAGATATGACAGAAGGAAATGTTCAGAGCGAAGACTCTAGATTTCTGAAGTTCTGTCTTTCTGTTCCTCCAATTCCTGACACCTGCCTCATCTAATTGACCTGATTTTGTATACTTTGCAGCAATTGCCTGTTTGTCTTTGACCTTCTCTTTTCCCATGCTGAGTCACACTGGGATGGCTGACTGCTGAAGATGCAACTTCCCAGTTTTCTAGTTTATGACATTTCACAATGTACCATGTGCACAGATGAGGTTCCACTCTGATAGTGGCTGAGTCTCTGGGCATTAGTACTGTTCACATTTACAACGTTCCAGCAACCCACCCCATCGAGTCATTGTGGCTTGCCAAAGCAGAGAAATATCGGAGGATAGAAAATTCATGATTATCACCAGCAATTTCTGGCAAACTACTGGTTTCAATTCACCTTTGCTTTGATTATTGAAAGCTCGTTGCACAAACATTGCAGGACATTCTGCTGCTAGCAGTCAGTTTTATTAGTTAACTCAAATTAGGATTAGATTTTAATGTCATATGTTCTCAAGTACAGAAGAGCCATGAAACATGTGTAATGTCACCATTTCCAGCTCTATCATAGGTACAAGATAGAAAAATAAAGAAATAAGTTAAAAGTGCAACATTACAGTCCATCTATAACCATGGACCTGCAGTCGCTCCATGCTGGACTTTCCCCATGAGGGCAGGCTCTTGCTGAGTCCCCCACTGCCCACTGCCAACCAGACTCACCAGCCATACAGTCATATAGCACAGAGACAGACCCTTTGGATTAACCAGTCCATGCTGACCAAACTAGTTTCACCTGCCTGCACTTGGCTCATATTCCTCCAAATATTTCCTATTCATGTACTTATCTAAATGTCTTTTAAATTTTTGTAACTGCACCTGCATCCACCACTTCCTCTGGAAATTCATTTCACACACTAACCACTGTGTAAAAAGTAGCCATGTCTTTTTTAAAATCTTTCTCCTCACCTTAAAAATATGCCCTCCAGTCTTGGAAATTCCACCCTCCCCCCGCCACCCCAGGAAAAGACATCTGCCATTCACCATATCTAAAAAATTTTATAAACCTCAATGAAGTCACCTCTCAACCTCTTATATTCCAGTGAATCAAGTCCCAGCCTATCCAGCTTCTCCTTTTCACTCAAAACCTTCCATCCTGGCAACAACCTGATAAATCTCTTCTGAACTCTCTCTAGCTTAATAATATCCTTCCTGTACTAGGGTGACCAGAACAGCACACAGAACTCCAGAAGAGGCCTCACTAACGTCTTTTACAACCTCAACATAATGTCCCAACTCCTTTACTCCAAGCCTCGCCACCAACCACCATCTGGGCTCTTTGCTTTTTTAATTAATTAAAATAAATTAATTTAACTGTACAGATAACGTGGTGATCAATAGGCACAGTTCTAAGAACATCAGAAGCAGGACTGGATTATACACTCTCTCCAGCTGCACCATCAGTTAACGTGAGTGCACCTGGTTGTTGGTTTCAATGTTACCTGCCTGCCCACGCACTCCCCACCCACCCCCCTCCAATCTCCCTAGATTTCTTGAGAGTAAAAATCTGTCTCTACCAAACTTAAATATATTTAATGATGGAGCAGCTACAACCCTTCGGGTGTAATGAATTTGGAGTGAAGAAATTTCTCTCAGTCCTACTTGATCAGCTTGATCCCGAGATGAGTGCCATAATGTTCTGACTACCCCAGCCAGCTCTGTATCTACCCTGTCAAATCACTTCCAGATCTTGTATGTTTCAAAGAGATCACCTCTCATTCTGTTGAACTTGAGACAGTAAAGGCCCATAGTACTCAGCCTCCCATCATAAGATAGCTCTCTTATTCCAAGAACCAATGTAGGGAATCTTCACTGCCCCGCATCCAATGTAAATCCTTCCTTAAAGATGGTAACCAATACTGTACTCCAGGTATGGTCCATCCAAAGCATGGTCTAATTGTACCAACACTTTGTTACTCTTGTACTCTGATCCCCTTGTAAAAAATCTAACAGAACAGTTCACTTCCTAATTGCTGACTGTACCTACATGCAAACATTGTGCTCCATTTGTGAGCGTACCCACATCTCTGAATATCAATATTATCGAGTTTCGCTCCTTTTCACAATAAAACATGTCTGCTTGCAAGTTGGAATTAGATCGTTTAATTAGCTACAAAGAGCAGGCAGGGAGACTTCAGGTGAACCTGCCCTCAACTATTCATGCCAGAGACAAAAACAGTAATGGTGGGAAAAATCAGCAGGTTTGACAGCATCTGTGGAGAGAGAAACAGAGTTAACATTTCAAGTCCAGTAACCTTTCTTCTGAAGTATGAAAGCACGGTGACTACAATTGCTGTAGCTGAGGTCTAAACAGAGCTTTAATAAAGGAGCAGCATAATGTTCCTGCTTTTGTACTCAGTATCTCTATTTATGAAGTCCTGGATATCACAAAAATTGCTAACCATCCTCTCAATAAATCCAGACACCTTCAAAAATTGGGTACATGCACCCTCAGGTCTCTTGAGGGCGAGTAATATTAAAGTGAATACAAAAGTGTCTTTGGAATTTTAGGAGAGCCATTAACAAAGTGACATCACAGTACTTAGCTCTTCCCACTGCTCTGTGACTGTGTGCAAAAAGATATAGAGAGTGAGTCAGACGTTTTAAGAAAACTACTTTATTACAGCTGAATTGCAATAATACTGTACAGGTGTTTTCTGAATTACTGGATCATGTAGAGGATTGAAAAAGAATTGTCTATAATTTAACTTGGCAAAAGCTATAACTAAAACATTGTTTTGATCTTAATCAGCTGTTTAATTAGAACTTGACATATGGAAACTATATTAAAAAGAAATATAACTGTGGATTAAGATGATGTTTAATAACAATCACATTGGTTATGCATATTTTGTAAGGCAGACTGCAATTGTCAATAAACAAACTATACAAATAGACATTATTTGTGCTAACAAATCCCAGTCGTATCAAATAGTAATCTTTTAAAATAGATACTTCTGGAGTTAGCTAGTATCAGCTATTCATTTATTTCAAAAGAAACTTCCAACAAATTTTCTAAATATTTATTAAAAACCGCACATATATTTTACAAAATTTAAAGCATAAACCAAAAGCAAGTTGAGATGATTTGAAATACTTCTGACTGTAGCCCAAAATAAAGGACACGTTCATTTGAAAGCATATAGCAGAAATGACACGCTTTAAATCCTGCACCTCACACTTGAATGCCCTGTACAAAATTAGAGTTACACTAAAGTTGTACAATGCCATTGAAGAAGTATTTGATACATATTTTGCTTGTATTCACATTTAACAGAGATGTCAGTCAGTGAGCCTAGAAATCCAAACTAGTTTACCATGGATCGAAACTGTTTGATTTAAGAACTTGCCGGTCTTTGGCTGACACACACTGGCAAGTTTGGATAAGTGTGGCTTTACACTTCTCAAACCAAAAATCTTGAAGCAGTGTGGATGGGTTTAAGTTCTGAACACTGCTTTGGTACTAATGAAAACAAATCAAAACAATTAATAGCATTAATAGGTACCTCAACATTATAGAACAAATTGAAAAACATTGACATGTTTTAAAAGCAGACATTAGCAGGCCAAGCAGCATCAGAGGAGCAGGAAGGCTGAAGTTTTGGGCCTAGACCATTTCTGAAGAAGAGTCTAGGCCCAAAACATCAGCCTTCCTGCTCCTACAATGCTGCTTGGCCTGCTGTGTTCATCCAGCTCTGCACCTTGTTGGCTTTTTAGGTTGAATTTCAGCAATTTCCAGACAGCTCATCCAATTTAATCCAACCAGTCCATGCGGTATTAATTGCCAGACAGGCCTTCCCTCCTGTCGCCATCATTTTTAATTGAAATAGTAATTATCATAGGCCTCTGTTTCCTTCTCCCTCATAGGTTTGTCTAATGTCCCCTTAAATGCATTTATATTATTAGGGAGCAAGTTCTACATTCTCAACATTCTGTGTAAATTCATTCCTCCGGATTCCCTATTGGATTTCTTGGTGACTCTCTTCTAATGATGGCCTCTGATTATGGTCCTTCCCACAAGTGCAAACAATCTGTCCATATCCACTCTAGCAAAACCTTTCATCATTTTAAAGACCAGTCTCCCCTCAGCCTTCCGTTTACTGGAGGAAAAATGCCCTGCCTGTTAATACTTTCTTGATCGATATACCCATTCATTGCAGCTAGTGCCTCTACATCCTTTCTCACAATACGATGACCAAAGCATGCACAGTCTTTGAAGTGTGGCCTAACCAAAGTTGGTCACAGGTTTAGCATAACTTCCCAACTTTTCAATTCTAATGTCTACAAATAAAGCTGATTGTGTAGTTTGTTCGGTTAATGGTGAGGAGGCTGACAGCACTCAAAGTAAACAGATGATATCTTATTTTTTTACACAGACTTTTTTTGCCAATTAAAAAGTTTATAAAAACTCAATATCCACAAATTGTATTATGGTGTAAGAATGTAAATAAGACAAAACTCCAATTTTAAAGTTCTCCTTCACCATTATTGGTCTAAAGATGCATTAAGTACTGCTGCATGCAAACAATAGCTGATGGTTTCAGGCAATTTCACATTGTTTTGTCTTTAGTAACCTCGGTCATCCTTGTGGAAAAGGCTGAATAAAATGGCTGACTTCATTGATGACATCTAACTTTTACTCTTTGCACTCGTGACTGTGAACTTTATTGGACGACTCTTTGTGACCTGATGTTATTGTCCAATATGAAGCAATGGAATGTCAACTATTTTGAATCACCTCTGTTGACATCCAAACTATCTGATGAGTTCCTCTGTCGGAGCATGTTCTGGATCCTCTGAGGAAGACCGTTGCATCGGTTTTCTAATTTCCACTGAATTCCTTTTCACCTGTCCATTTAAAGCTGAGGTCTCCATTTCCTCAACTGAGTTTGCGTTAGAAGGACAGTTTGACAGTGAGCGATGGAGATTCTCTTTCCTACACTCATCGGCAGTTGTGTTACCTTTCTCCTCAGTCTTTCCCGATAACTTTACTCGTGCCTCCTGCTGTCCCCCTATTGATCCTCGATAGTTAGGCACAATGGGAGGCGTAGGCCGCTTATCTGTAACAAAAAGAGCAAACATTTTGAGGACAGCCACATGTGTAATGATATAAGATCGCTTCACTAAGCAGACTGTTTTTTTGACACCACCAGGTTATTTACAGATTGCAATAACATAGACTCTTTATTGTTCTATTTCTGCTTAAGCAGATAGATGGAGAAAGGTCTGTATTGACCAGAAATGCAGAAACTGAGTTGCTGCCTCGTAGGAGCAGAATGGGACCTTAGTCCATGCAATACGATAGGAAAAGACCCAGGAGCCTACAATACTGAACTATGCAAATGGCAGCAGTTGCTACATATGGCTGGTGTTGAAATGGTGTGTGTGTGTGTACATCTGCATGTACAGACACTAATCCCTGAACTGCTATTTACGTTTCATCAAAAGCAGGACCAAAAGGGAATTTCCTGCTACTCCCACACAAACAGATGGCTGCTCAGTACCAGTTTTATGAAATTTTAATGTCTGTTTATATTTTTGCAGTCCTGTTTTCTCAATGCTTAAATCGAATTTCTGTTACTTCGGCGATTACATGCCTTAACTCATCCTTCACTTTAAAGTGTATTGAAATATTCAGAGGCCCATTAATAGATTGTGATGAGCAGGTGTTCAATCACAATTAATATTCAAGGGAAATCTATCAATCGTTATATCCATTTCTGAGCCATGGCCAGTCACCTTGTCTTGGCTGCTTTTAATTTGTTTTTAACCTTTTGGAGAAGATGTACATCACCTTCTGATGTGTAAAACATCATTTCAAAAGAGTATTATTTAATTAGAAAGCATATAGCAATCTTGGAACAAAAACTACTTACTCTTGACAAAAGTAACAAAGTGCTGGGTAAGACATTGAAATAGGCTGGGATTTCTGGAGCTCAGGAAATCATTGCACCCATTTGTTATACGTGGTTCAGCTCTCGAGAAACTCAGTTTCTGCTATTTAGACCTGAATTTCGTAATAACATTTTGCAAACAGCTCAAGGGCACAAATTAAGGAGCCTGATACCTGTTGATCACCCAAACAACTATGGCGTAGCAGATCACAGTATGAAATTCAGAAATCTAATGATAAGTGTGACCTATTTCTCTGCCCTGTTGTTTCTGTATCCAGTTTTCAACTGTAGAAGTGTCAGTTTACCAGCTACTCAAATCTCGCTGCACTGCAGCATGCAAGAATTTCTCATAGTGATCCAGGGACAGGTTTGGACTTGTTATCAGCACATTACTTGTATCTTTAGTTTACTAACTGCCTGAGCAATGCTCCCTGTGAGCTGTGCAGCCTCCAGAAAACCCCACACGCATGCCGTCAGCCTCCACTGTAGGACACCCTCTGTTTTAACATAGCACACACAAAACTTAGATGTCCAGGCAGGAAAAACAAAAATCAGAGGAAACATTAGCAGTGAGTAAGTGAGATAAAAGTTCAGCAAGAGAGCACCAAGACTCAAGATGCTGTAGGCGGAGAAAGTAAGTAGCTAAAACATAGGTAAACTGTTTGGTCAATAGTACTAGCAGCTGCTTTAAAGTATGTCATTGTAAAGACGTGATGGGGTCCTTAAGATGTAAAATAAGCAAAAGTACAAATGTGTGATGATCCAGTTTCTTACTCCTAATGATTTCATGATCTTTAATGCGAGCAAAGTATAGTTCCAATCTCTTTGGCAATATTTTGGAATAGGGAAGTGGGGAGGAGTTATGGATGAGAAGCCCAGAAGTCTGTTCTGGATTACTGTGTCCAGTTCTGGTCGCTCTGTTATAGGAAGGATATTATTAAGCTGGAGAGGGGTCAGAAGAGATTTACCAGGATTTTGCCAGGAATGGAGGGTTTGAGTTACAAGGAGAGGCTGGAAAAGGCTGGGATACTTTTTACTGGAGGGTCAGAGATTGAGGGTTGATCTTATGGAGGTTTATAAAATCATCAGGGGTACAGATCAGGTGAATGGTAGATGTCCTTTCCCTATGGTGGGGGATTTCGAAAACTAGGCATCATATTTTTAAGGTGAGAGGAAAAAGATTTAAAAAGGACATGGGGGCAATTTTTTTTTAAAACATATGGAGTGGTTTTTGTGTGGAATGAAATTCCAGAATAAATAGTGGATGCGGGTACAGTTAGACCGTTTAAAAGACATTTAGGGAAGTACATGAATAAGAAATGTTTGGAGGGATATGGGCCGAATTCAGGCAGGTGGGACTAGTTTAGTTTAGGATTATGGTTGACATGGGCTGGTTGGACCGAAGGGTCTGTTTCCGTGCTTTGTGACTCAAAGTCCCTGCAGTTTGAACTACAGGACCTGTTTGCATTATTTGGTTCCACATTTCCGATCTGATGACCAGTCTGTGACAGAAAAGACAAATCAAGGGATGGTGTGACTAGATTTGGAGTGGGTGAAGCATGCAGCTGGTGATCAGTAAAGCGGACTGTCCCAAAGGGTTGGGGAAGCTGACAAACGGTGGGATAGGGGGAGGCGGAGGGTGGGCTGGAGGAGATCTCAGAGCAGACAGATCACAGTGGGGATGAGTGAGAGAGGTGTGTTTGAAGCTGACAGATGAGGCTCAGTAGGATAGCAATGGGTGAGGAAGAAGGTGCCAGGGAGTGGAGTGGGGCATGATTTAAACAATAAACTCTTCTGGCATAATTCAAAACAGTTGCTGGAGGTACAAATGATCATCTCAAACTTATCCACATGACCTCACATTCCCCAAATCCTGGTCGGCTAGACTGTCTTTGATTTAAAGTAGCAGGTCACTAGGTATATTAATGATTCAGAGGAGGGAACTAAATGTAACACATCAAAGTTTGGAGACAATGCAAAGCTGGGTAAGAGGGTGAACTGTGAGGAGGATGCAGGGAGGCTTCAGTGTAATTTGGACAAGTTGAGTGAGTGGGCAAATGCATGGCGAATGAAGTAAAATGTGAGGTAGCAAAAGAGGACAGCAGACTATCTGAATGGTGACAGATTGGGAAAGGGGGAAGTGCAACAAGACCTGGGTGTCCTTGTACAGCAGTCATTGAAAGTAAGCATGTAGGTGCAGCAGGCAGTGAAGGAAACAAATGGTGTGTTGCCCTTCAAAGCGAGAGGAATCAAGCACAGGAGCAGGGATGTCTTGCTGTGATCACACCTGGAGCATTGTTTGCAGTTTTGGACCTCTTATCTGTGGAAGGATATTCTGGCTATGGAGGGAGTGCAACAAAGGTTTACTAGACTGTTCCTGGGATGACAGGATTAACATATGAAGAAACAGAATCAGTAAGAATAATTTTCACTGAGTTTAGATGAAGGAGAGGACATATCATGGAAACTTATTAAATGCAAACAGGACTAGGCTAGGTAAATGCAGGAAAGATAACACAGTGTCGAGCTGGAGGAGCACAGCGGGCCAGGCAGCATCAGAGGAGCAGGAAAGCTGACATTTCGGGTTGAGACCCTTCTTCAGAAATGTAGGAACAGTGTTCTCAATGACAGGGGAATCCAGAACCATAGGTTATAGTCTAAGGATACGCAGTAATGTATTTAGGACTGAGATGAGGAGAAATGTCGTTAGCCAGAGAGAGTGGTGAGCCTGTGGAATTCTCCGTCACAAAAAGCAGTTGAGGCCAAAACATTGAATGGTTTCAATAACGAATTCGATACAGTTCGTTATTGGGACTAAAGGGATCAAAGGGAATGAGGAGAAATTGGGAACAGGGTCTGGAATTGGATGATCATATTGAATAGTGGAGCAGGCTCAAAGGGCTGAATGGCCTACTCTGCTCCTATTTTCTATGTTTCTATTTCACAGCTTGGTTTTGGTTGCAATAAATGTTTAGTGTACATGCGCTCACACACGCATGTGCAAAATGTTAGTCAATAAGATTACCGATGATGCACAGGATAGCTTTCTATTTATTTTCCTAGTTAGATTGACATATCTAATATATCCTTGGGCAAGGTTTGATGAGAGGTGGGGAATATGATGTAGAAAAATTTATCACACGTAATGTTTATAGATTAATTTTTTTTTAAAAATGAGAGGCATGATTAATGGGATTGGATTTTATAATTACTGAAGGCTGTCCGTGTTGCTTTGCACTTGCAATGCAACGTGCTGACTAATATTCCATTATTTGTCATAGGTGTTTCAGTTCTGAACACAATACAGCAGCTGTTAAAGTGGCACAAAGTAGGTTTTCATTCACTCAGTTTTTAATTGACTCACGAAAGGATAGAAAGAATCCTTTATTCACCGCTGAATGACTCAAACTTTACCCGCACTGTATTGAGTTATTTCTCTTGCATATATCTAAAGGCACAATAAGTCAGTGCTGATAGGTAACAATTAAATAGCAGCAGGAAATGACCAACTGAGCCCAACCACAAACTAGACAACTAATGCTTTAAAGGCATGCAACAAAATATTGTTTGTGATTCAACTGTCTTCACAGCCAACAACTTCCTGATCATTTTATTTATCATTATACCTCTAGCAACCTGTAATTAGCTTTCTTAAAAAAGTTTGACCTGTAAACATTACATCATATTCCTCCAGCTCTGTTCCAACCTGGCCTACAGAGATATTAGATATGCCAATCTAACAAGGAAGACAAATAGAAAGTAACCTGTGCATCATCGATAATCTTCTTAATATTTGCAGTTTGTACAGAACTTTAGTTAGGCCACATTTGGAATATTGTGGACAGTTCTGGTTGCCACACTACCATAAAAAGGTGGAGGCTTTGGAGATGGTACAGAAAGGGTTTATCAGGACGTAACCTGGTTTGGAGGGTATCAGCTATTAGGAGAGATTGGACAAACGTGGTTTGTTTTCACTTTAATGTTGAAGGATGAAGTTTATAAAATGATGAGAGGCAATGATAGAATGGAGAGTTGGAGTCATTTTCTCTAGGTAGATGTGCCAATTATGAGGAGACGTAAGTTTAAGGTAAAAGGAGGAAAGTTTAAAGAAGATGTGAAAGGCAAGTTTGTTTTTTTTTTACACAGAGAGTGGTAAGTACCTGAAATGAGCTGCCAGAGGTGCTCGTGGAGGTGGACATAATAGCAGCCTTTAAGAAGCCTCTTGCCAGATACACGAATAGGCAGGGAGTATGGACCATGTTGAGGCAAAAGGTTTTTAGTTTAGAAAGACATCATAAATCGGCAGAGTCTTGGTTGGCCCAAGGGCCTGTTCTTGTGCTATACTGTTTGTTCTTATTTCACATATGTATGTGTTAGCAGCCCACATTTATAGTGTAGCATCCACGTACAGTTTTGCAATTAATAGCATCAGTTTAAATGAGAGAGATATCTCTTCCGAAGGACAAAAGTGTAGCAGAGCTGGAACAGCAGCCATCGAGATGTAGTTGGATGAAAGTTGTTACAGAGTGGTTGGCCAGACAAATGGGGCAGATCTCCTGGCAGGTGTAGCTATAAGGAACAGCAGCTACATATTTCAAGGTCATTGACTGAAGGTGACCTAGCCCAGAATAATTGGTATGAATAAAAAAAAAAGTTTTGTAGTGGGGTTGAGCAACAGATTAACATTATGTGGATTGCAAGTAATGAGGCTATAAGGGTGGTTTTCTATGCAATGGTCTTTTCTTCCAAAAAAAGGGCAGGTGATAAATACAAGCAGCTAAAACAGGAAAAGAAATACTCACATTTAAAGAAATTTTTCCAGTCAATGGGAAATGTTTCATGTTGGGATAACTGTTGCTTTAGTCTATATGAAGATTTAAAATGGATATGAAATATTGATTAACTTTTGCTAAGGCCGGAGTGGAAAGAGAAGGAGTGTAAGTCCAAAATAAAATGATTGGGAATGCAAGGTAGACAAATGAAAGACTGTGGCCAAGTGAAAGAGCAGAGTGACAACCATCCTCCTGCTGACTGTTGCTATAGCAATATAGACAGTTTGGGATGCATGTATCCACAATAACGATAACAGCCTGGAGTTTCTGAAAGCTTGCACTGGCTCATCCACAGATGATTGACAGAAACCCTAGACAAATGGCTAAACACCAAAGCCCACTGGGAGTCACTCTGTCAAATTTCCTCTCCACCTTGATTATGTTTTTGGACAGGAATCATAGATTCATGAACTCATAGAATCTCTACAGTGTGGAAACAGGCCCTTTGGCCCAACAAGTCCACAACAACTCTCAGAGCATCCCACCCAAACCTGTCCTCCTATAACCCACCTAATCTACACATCCCTGAACACTACAGGCAATTTAGCATGGCCAATCCACCTAACCTGCACATCTTTGGACTGTGGGAGGAAACTGGAGCACCTGGAGGAAACCCATACAGACATGGGGAGAATGTACAAACTCCACACAGACAGTCACCCGAGGCTGGAATCGAACCCGGGTTCCTCGCACTGTGAGGCAGCAGTGCTAACCACTGAGTCACCGTGCCACCCTAGTGCTGACTCTAGTCTCAGCTTTATAAACCAATTATAAATTTTAGACACAGCTTTTTGTTGAAGAATAAAGGTAATGAAAGTGACATAAAATTTCTGGGTCTATATTTTCTGAAGTAAACTTTCAAATAAATATTCCAATTTGAAAAAAAATACAAAGTTTGGTACTGGGTCCACTGCTTTTTATCATTTAAATAAAATGATTTGGATGTGAATAAAGGAGGTATGGTTAGTAAGTTTGCAGATGACACCAAAATTGGTGGTGTAGTGGACAGCGAAGAAGGTTACCTCAGAGTACAATGGGACCTTGATCAAATGGGTCAGGGAGTGGCAGATGGAGTTTAATCTAAGTAAATCTGGGGTGCTACATTTTGGTAGGGTAAATCAGGGCAGGACTTATACACCTAATGGTAAGGTCCTGGGGATTGTTGCCAAACAAAGAGACCTTGGAGTGCAGGTCTATAGTTCCTTGAAAGTGAAGTTGCAAGTAGACAGGGCAAGGCGTTTGGTATGCTTGTATTTATTGGTCAGCGCATTGAACATGGGAGTTAGGAGGTCATGTTGCAGCTGTACAAGACATTAGTTAGGCCATTTTTGGAATACTGCATTCAATTCTGGTCTCCCTGCTATAGGAAGGATATTGTTAATTGAAGAGGTTCAGAAAAGATTCACAAGGATGTTGCCAGGATTGGAGTGTTTGGGCTATAGGGAGAGGCTGGATAGGCTGGGGCTATTTTCCCTGGAGTGTCAGAGGCTGAGAGGTGACCATATAGAAGTTTACAAAAACATGAAGGGCATGGATAGGGTGAATAGTCAAGGTCTTTTTCCTCAGAGTAGAGGAGTACAAAACTAGAGGGCATTGGTTTAAGGTGAGAGGGCAAGGATATAAAAGGGATCTAAGGGGCAACTCTTTCACGCAGAGAATGGTCCATGTATAGAATGAGCTGTCAGAGGAGGTGGTGGAGGCTGGTACAATTACAGCATTTAAAAGGCTTCTGGATGAGTATATGAATAGGAAGGGTTTAAAAGGGATATGGGCCAAATGCTGGCAAATAGGACTAGATTAATTTAGGATACCTGCTGGCATTGGACGAGTTGGACCGAAGGGTTTTTTTTCATGCTGTACAGCTCTATGACTCTAAAAGGTGACATTTTGTCTCAAGAACATAATTAACCTCAATGTTGCTAAGTTACCTCCTGGTCCAATTGGACGCATTAGCCTGTTCATCTGAACATTCCAGTGCTTAACATGTGAACTTGCTTGTCGCAATTTCTTCTGTGCAGCCTGTAAAAAACAAAGGGGAGAAAATTGTCACCAAATAAATGCTGCACGGTCTGTATTAATGAACAATTGGAAACCTGTCACGTGTTAGTACCTGCACAGGATCTCAGCAATATATAATTTTTCTTTGCTGAGATATATTTTTCATTCTGTAATTGTGTGGAGAGAAGAAACTAATCAATATTTCATTAAAAGTGCAAGCATTCAAGTCAATTCTATGGATTATTATGGCACAGCGGTAGTGTCCCCACTTCTGAGCCAGCAGGTTCAGGATCAAGTCTCACCCACTCCAGTGATGTGTAATAGTATCTCTGAATGGGCTGATTAGCTTATATCTACAAGTAAATTTTGCTGCACTACATTCACTAAGTTAAACAATGAGGCCAATTGTAATGGCATAAAACGTGCTAATAACGTAAAGACATTTTAAAGTTCTTCAATTAAGGAGAGTGAGTCCATTCAGTCTTAACATGAATCCTAGTTTACTCTGCAAAACAACGAACTAAGAAGTTACATATGAAAGCAGCGACAACTGAGGACTTAGCACTATCATGTCTGCCAATGAAAACCAGCTGCACTTTCCAGCACCTGGCCCATGTTAAGTGATTGTAACAATGTCAGCCAGGTAGACTTCATAGAATGAGTTCTCTGATTGGACCAGATTAACAGCTCCAATCAGGGAGCCCTGGCTGACAGACAAGAGCAGGAGTGTCAGACATCCTGTTCATTCTGACAGCTGGCTCTGAGGGAGCTGGATCAGCGTCAAGAACTCTCCACGTGTAAATAAAGGATGATTTGGTGACAGCATACCGGCCTCTATGGAGTTATTTCAGCCTGTATGTGGCTTTGAAAGTTACAGGTGCTGCTCCAGGAACCTCTGAAATGAGTTGAGCATTTCGGCCTCCATTACCAAAGAAGGCAATGAATTCTAGACCTTCAACCTCTGGTTGCAAGTTTTTCCTTCATGTCCTCTCTAATCCTTCCATTAATCATCTTAAATTTGTGCTCAACAAGGGGAAACAGGTCTTTCCTGTCTAGACCATCCAGGCCTCATTATTTTCCCCTCCTCACTTCAGTCACCCACAGCTTCCTCTGTTCTAAAGAAAACAATCACAGCTCATCCAATCTGTCATCGTCACTAATTCTTAAGCTCTGGCAACATTCTTGTAACTGTCCCTACTTTTACCAGAGCAATTATGTCCTTCTTTTAATGCAGTGAGCAGAACTGTACTCACAATTACAACTTTGGCCTAACCAGCATTTTATACAGGTATAGCATTAAATCCAATAAAGGAAAGCATCCCATATACACCTCTCCTACCACCTTCAACGACCTGTGGACATGCACATGAAGGTCTCTCACTTTCTCTACCTCTCAATATCCTCTTTATTGTGCATTCTCTTGTTTTGTTAAAAAGATGCAGCAGGATAAAGAACATTTGGAAAGTTGAGCGGAAAAATGGCAGAGGGAGTTGAATCCAGACAATTGTAAGGTGATGCATTTTGGGAGGTCTAATACAAAAGGGAGTGGCCGGACCCTTAAGAGCATTGATATCAGGAGTATCTTGGGGTGCAAGTCCATAGCTCCCTGAAAATGGCAACATGAGTGAGTGGATAAGGTGGTAAAGAAGGCACACAGCATGCTTGCTTTCACCGATTGGGGCACTGAGTATAAAAGCTGGCAAATCATGTTGTTACTGTATAGAACTTCAGTTTGGCTGCATTTGGACTATGCTGTGCAGTTCTGGTTGCTACACTATAGAAGGGATATGGATACTTTGGAAAGAGTGCAAAAGAGGTATTCCAGAATTTTGTCTGGATTGGACTGTATTAACAATAAGGAGAAGTTGGATAAATTTGGACTTTTTCCGCTAGAACATCAGAGGCTGACAGGCGACTGGATAGAAGCATATAAAATTATGAGAAGCATGGATAGGGTGATTGTTGGAGTCTGTTTCCCAGGAGGCAAACACTTAAGGTGACAGGGGGCAAGTTTAAAGGAGATGTGCAGGGCAAGTTTTTTTTTATAGAGGGTGGTTGTTGCCTGGAATATGCTGCCATGGGAGGTAGCAGAAGCAGATATGATAACAACTTGTAAGAGGCATTTAGACAGACACATGAACAGCAAGGAGTAGAGGGATATGGACCATGTGTAGGCAATTGGGGTTAGTTTAGAATGACATCATGGTAAGTGCGGACATGGTGGGCCAAAGGGCCTGTTCCTGTGCTGAACTGTACTATACTCACCTTGTCAACTCACAATAAGCTCAAGACAAGACCTGTACAAAAGCAAAAACCTACAGTGCTGGAAAGTTGAAGCAAATGCATAAAATGTTGAGAGCATTGAGCAAGTCTTGCAGCATCTGTAGAGAGGCAGAAAAGTTAGTAGTTCCAGTCAATAACCTTTCATCATTTCCAGTGGGGTTCAAAAGATACACACCTGAAGAGAATAAAAGTTGCAGAGCTATGGGCAAAGGGCAGGGGAGCAAGATGAACTAATTTATTTTTGCTGGAGGCCAGCACAGGGACAATGGGCCAAATTGCCTCTCTCTGTGCTGTAAACCATTCTATAATTTTATCATAGCCTATCGACTACTATTCATTAAAAGACCACTGTCTTGCACAGTGATCTCCACTATGCCTTCTTAAAACTTGTTTGGATTTCATTCTCCATCCCTATCACAACTGTTCTAATGCTGCAGCCTCCCACACCAGTGTATCAGAGATGTGTTCTTTCTTCCCCAACTGAGGAGTACACCCCCAACTGCTTTTGGCAGGGCTGTTAACCACAAATCCTGCACTTGTGCTCTCACCTCTTCCCCTCCCAAACAGAACCATGTTAGGGTTCATTAGTTCCCACTTTCCCACCCCACCAGCTGCTGTATTCAATGGATTATTTTCCACCATATCCCTCATCTCCCCTCTCAGCATTCTAGAAGGGCCCGTTCCCTCTATGATACCCTGGTCCACTCCTCAGTCACCCCCTAACACCTTGTCCTTTCCTACTTTTTTATGCAAGTGGACAAAATGTAACTTATATGTCTTCATCAAAACTCCAAACACTCCTCTCGAGAGAAGTAGTGATTTGCATGAAATTTCTTTTAGTCTGGTCTACTGCATTGATTACCATTAATGTGGTCTCCCTGCATGCAGAATAGATTGACCACTTTGCAGAACAGCTCTGTTGTGTTTGCAGGCAGGTCCCAAACTTTCACTTCTTGTCATCTCAATTCTTCACCCTGCTCTCACTGACATCTTTATCCTTGGCCAGCTCCATAATTCCAGCAAATCTCACGTAAGCTTGAAGAATAATGCCCCTCTTTTGATTAGGCACTTTACAGCTCTTTGGACTCAACACAGAGTTTCAGACCATAATCTCAGGGACTATTTTGTTTCCTTTTCTCTGCAGGTTTCAGCTTTTTCTTAACTTTTTGCTTGCTGTCAGCAGCACACCTGCTCTAGATGCATCTTTCGTTTCTTAGTTTCTATTCTTGCCCCATCACTATTTCCTTTGGTCCTCAGAGACGAACCCTTTTGTTATTAAATCTTTCCTATCACCCTTCACCGTCCTTCAGTCTTTGTCCACCCAGCCCTTCAGTAAAACCAGAATATTGCGAATGCTGGAAAACCTGAAACAAGAATTGAAAATGCTGGAGATTCTCAGCAGGTCTGGTAGCATCTATGGAGACAGAAACAAAGTTAACGTTGTGCCCAGTCCTAAAGCAGCATTACATGAGACTCAAAATTTTAACTGCTTCTTTGTCCACAGATGCTGTCAAACCTGCTGAGTTTTTTATTTTACTGTTTTGATTCCACCCAAACCCTTGCTCAAAACTATTACTTGCGTCCATTTGGTTCTTTTAGATGAAAGGTTACAGATCTGAAACATTAACTTGGCTTCTTTCCACAGATGCTGCCATAACCTGTTGAGTATTTCCAACATTTTCTGTGTTTTTTTTCTAAGATGTGATTTTCTCAGCAGTATTGTTCCCATCTTATGGTTGTGCAATTTACCTTCTAAGTGTTGCTTGCTGTTACTTTTAAGGCTTTTGAACTTTTGATAAATATGGTTGCACCTTGGACGTTGAATGCTTTGACTCAGTTATTTGAAAGCAGCAGCCCACAGGAAGCAGATGCAGTCAACTGTAACACTTTTAGGAGTTTCAAAGCGATCACTATAAAGCCCCAATAAACTCTTAAAGAAGGTATCACCTTCAACCAGTGTGATGTTACCTTAAACTTAAACCGTATAGGATGGGTTGGAAATGATATTATAATGTGAATGCCATTCCCAACCCTCTGTCACTCATCTTGAGGTGTGGGTTAACAGAGATTGATATTTCAGGTCAATGTCTTATCATCAGAAATGACGAAGGATCATCAACTTGAAATATTAATTCTGCTCCTCACTCCACTAATAGTCCACAGACCTTAAACCAGGCACATTAGCTGCCGTAAAGATACCACATGCTAGAAGTCACGTTGTCCACATGTTCAAATTATTCTCTGCTTCTGACACTCTTCTCCTTTAGTAAAATCACAATTAAGACAACCTCACGTGGTGTAGCATTTTAGAACTTCATGATAAGCTTTAACAACAACATTAACAACACTGAATTTACAAAAATAGCCAAATTGCTACTCTCTATTTTACAATAAAAGTCTTTTTCTTTCTGAAACAAAAAGCACATCATCAAATTTCTTGGTACTCCGCGTGCTGGTCCATCAACACAGAAAGCATAGTGTGAGTCAATAAAACATGTCTTCTATCTGACATTTCTATAAGGCAGAGAGGAAGGGCAGACAGCAACCTTAGCGGAAACAAGGCTCTGAAACCACCTTTGATACAAAGAGGTCAAGGCTGAAGCAGTACTACCCCACATCAAAAGAATGGCTTTCATTGCCTGTTCTAGACAGGAGCTCTGTATCACGGCAGTCTGTATAAATGTCAACAAGCCATGATAGCTCTGTGGGGAATGGATATTCAGTATCAGTTCACCCTTTATTTATATGAAAATAAATACATATTGAGTACCATTCCATGTAATATGAATAAACAGAATCTCAGGCCTTGTTCTAAGGAGGAGGTTTGAGGACAACCTAAAATTTCCTGAAGTAATTATACTATATTAACAACGTTGCTGCCATTAGGTGGCAAATCTTTTTCGTTTATAGTCATGCCATTTATGGTAGATAGTCTTTTTGCCAAAAAATTAATAAATTTACTCTCTCTGTTTTTAGGCACCAAATTCCCATTCCTGTACAAGCTGTACAATAAATTGATCAGCTCACAATATTGGGTCAATTGTCCCTTTGAGCAACAAAAGCCTTCTTTCACATTTTGAAAAGAACCAGAAGGTTATGATCAAGTGGCTACCTGAAGTTTCTCTCAAGTGTCCCTGCATCATGATTTGACCAATGTGTAAATAGGTGTGGAAACTAATGCAAACTATTTATTTGAAAACGGTAAAAGCTGGGAACATTTTGCAGGTCAGGCAGCATCTGTGAACAGAGAAATAGAGTTAAAGGTGCTAATACTTGTGTGCAAATTGCAGAGGGAACGGGGGAGTGGGCTGTGGGGAGTAGGTGGTGATGTGGAGCAAGGAAATTACAAAAGAAGTTGGAGCAAACACAGAAATGCCTGAGAAACTGAGCAGGTCTGGCAGCACCTATGGAGAGAAAACAAGAATTATCTTTTTGGGTCCGATATGACTCTTCTTCAGAACTTGCATTCTGGAGACCTTAGCCAAAGAATCTTCGGAAAGGTCCTTGGAAATCAAACTGTGGGAGGGGGGGGGGGGGGAGGGAGGAGAAAATCAGCATTCAAAGCTTGGGTGGGTAACGGGGGCGGGGAGGGGGTGAAGAAATGGGAGAGGGGGGGAGGTTGGCCATGGTTGCACATTGGAGAATCTAGCACATGATGTGGGTTGTGTTGCAGTTGGCTTTGAGGGGGGTTGGGGAAGAGAAATTGTCAATGTTGGGGGCCTGGGGAAGGGAGAGATTATGAGGTACAGTAGGCAGGGCCAACACTTTCTTGACTGGTGGGTTGGGGAAGCTTTCTGTTCCCCATGGCCCACAAGGAGTGTTATAACAAGGCACCTGAGGGGCAACTTTTTCACACAGCGGGTGGTGAGTATATGGAATGAGCTGCCAGAGGAAGCGGTGGAGGCTGGTACAGTTACAACATTTAAAAGACGTTTGGACAGGTACATGAATAGGAAAGGTTTAGAGGGATATGGACCGAATGCGGGCAAATAGGACTAGTTTGGGAAACCTAGTCAGCATGGACAAGTTGGACTGGAGGGTCTGTTTCTGAGCTGCATGACTCTATGACTTCTGATGGATACTTCCACCTCACTTTGAATGCCAAGTTTCCCAGCTTCTGGGAACTATGTGTAGAAATTAATTTTAAATCAGGCACCAAATTAAAATATGTAAATGAAGCAAATACCTTTCCACAGTGGAATACTTAAGACATCACTAAACTCACCACCATAAAAACACAATGGATGTATATTGGATGGATTAAGGGTGACATTATAATGCGAACACCATTCACAACCCTCTGTCACTCATCCTGATGTTTGGATTAATAGAGGTTGATATCTTAAGTCAATGTCTTATCATCAGAACTGATGAATAACAATCAACTTGAAATATTAATTCTGTTCCTTACTCTATAGATACTGCTTGACCTGTTGAATATTTTCCAAGTCTCTATGTTTATATTAGATTTTCACACATATATCAACTATAATTGTTGCTTCTTAAATGATGAGTAATCTCAGAATAATATACTTTAATAATACAGTCCCAGTACCTAATTCTTTTCTAACAAAGGCAGTACAATCTTTTGTCATGGATTTTGATTTTATAATCTGGATTCTAATGACTTTATTTGACATTTTCAGATATAGCCAAACCAACAGGATTATAGAACATTCCTACCGGATTTGTCTACTTCATGAATTCTGTAACTAACACAATGCAGGCTGAAAATTACTTATGGCTCACATTTGGACTTCTCAGAATCAAAAGCATCATAATTATAGTAAATTTTAATGTGATTTGAAATAAATAGATTGATCCCTCCATTAAGTTTGCAGAAATAGGAACTTGGGCTGAACATATTAAGCAGTGTTGTAATAAACATTGCTTCAAATAATTTCTAACCTCTATATTTATGTGAGCAATAAACCCACTTCATCTAATGTTCAGTATGTATTGCTTCCAGTTATGATCTTACATTGTAAAATGCTGTGATTTAGTGATTAGATCAGTCCCTAGTGTATTAGCTTCTTCCTAATCTTAGAGTTGTTATTTTACTGCTGATATAGTTTGCTGTGTTGGTTAGTGTATACACTTACCACCACATCCTGGTCTGCTCGCTGTCTGTTGACCCGCACTTCCTCCAGCTGTTTTTGTGCTTCCTCTAGAATCTTGGACTTGTTTTCCATTTCTTGCCTTAACTCCTGTTTTTCTCTCTGCGTTTTTCTAATTAGCTCCTCCTGCTCTTCCTTTAGCTGCATCAGTGCTTTCATTTTGTCTTCCTCCTCAGACAACAATCTAAAAGCAAAACAAATGGATTAGTTATTAATTAACTAACGTGAATTAGTTATTTTCACTTCGAAAATCCATTTTCTTATTGCATTGATACACACAAAATTTGTCAACACTTTTTTCCCCGAACTGGATTGCTCTTTGAAACAACTGATGCACAGTTGATGATATGTGGACTCTTGCTTTGCTCTTCTATGACATCATCTTCCTTCACAGTGATGTGGAGATACCGGTGTTGGACTGGGGTGGACAAGGTCAAAAATCACATGAAACCTGGTCATGGTCCAACCTGCTATAACCTGGTGTTGTGTGATTTTTTACTTGCTTCGCAGTGTAATCTTCCCAGAGTTTATCAGACAGATAAATCAATGTGCAATTGACTGCTTTAGCATTGAAATAAGAAAATTGAACAGTGACAATGTTGTTGTAGAAGTAATTTGGAAATTCTCTGTGAAGTTCGTTAATGTCTGGGATTAATTGACTCAACATAGACCAGAATCAGTATTGTACAGCTCCTCATTGCTTCAACAAACTCAGCCATTGGAGAAGATTTACCCCCAGTATCTACCTGACTCAGTGACAGTTCTGCAATTCCTTGGTTAAAGTAGGAGGGTAGTTTTGTTTGATTGACCTTCTGCTAGTTCCCATGACCAGGTGACGCAACAAGTTATTACAAAAGAGATTACCAGTTCAGTATACGGTCGAGTTATTACAAAACTTGTCTTTCAGTGAGTTTCATGCTTCAAATGTACTTAAAGGGCCCCTTAAAGTGAGGATAACATACCTTGCCTGCATAATGAGGCAGTAGCCTTACAACCAGTTTCAGCATATAGGATTATTAGGAACAGGTGTGCGACATTCAACTCCTTGAACCAACTCTGTCATTCAATTATATTCTGGTTAATCTACACCTCAAAATCATTTACCCTTATCCCTACATGACAGAGGGGGAATTTTAATTAGCAGTAGTTCCCATTATTGCCCACATGTTAATAAAAGGATTTGAGAGACCAACTGTAGAGAGACAATTAGATTCTGCCTATGAATTTGAGTTGGAAGGTACTGTTTCACTGTATTCCACAAGTATCTGTGTTGGGACCTCAACTTTTCATGACTTTGAGAGCCAAATACACAAGTTCATGAAAAACATTAAGATTGTTTATACAGTAAGTGTTGTAGATTGAGAAATAAAATTAAAAAGACATTAATAACAAGTGAGTGGGCAAAACTAAGGTGGATTTCAATGCTGGCAAAGTTAGATACAAGACTTTTCTTGCAAATAGTTAAAAGCAAAGAACAATAGGGCTGAAGAAATTTATGGGTCCACATGCACAGATCATTAAAACGTAGCAGTCTGCTGCAAAAACAAATCAAAAAAGCTTAAAGGATTGTTAGCCTTTATAATTAATGGCTAGAATATAAGGGGCAGGTTCATCTCGAAGTTTGATGGATCTGATCAAGAACCTGATCCAAACTGGAAATTTCCCAGTGTTTCCATTGCCTGTGGAAAGTGGCAGCATGACTGAGGTACATGACAGCAGCAGACAAGTAAAGAAACAAACAAAATCCTCTGATTTTGCCACTAACATTCTCCTTTTTCATGGTAACAGGAATTAAATTGGGAGCTCAGCAAGTAGGTGAAGGAGATCCCAAAGACCTAACAATGAACTACCTCACAGATGGTATTCCCCATTGATGCACCACAGTTCATCACTGTCCTTCCAGCTCTAGTTCACTATTAAACATATTTGTATTTTCTTCATACCTGGTCTGTGCGTATCTCTTTGCTTCCTCCTCTTGCCGAGCAGTTACCTCAGCACAAAGAGCTTCCTCAAGGAGTTTCTGCATATCCTCCAGTTCACGAATCCGTTTTTTCTGGCGATCTGCCTCTGCCTCCTTCAATACCATCTCTGCTTCCATGCTGGCTCGAGCCTGAGGAGAACAGCGGTTACCAAATGAGAATGCAAACAATGCCGATCAGGAGCCTTTAACCTGAATTATAGCTTGACTTCTCCATTCAAACTATAGAAGGCCATGACAATTGGATTAGACAACAGTCTGGTCTCCAGTCTTGCCTATCTGATGAAGTGAAAATCTTCACTGTCCACTGACTGTAAGGGTCCTTTGTGGACAATCTCAATCCAGTTCCTATAGGGCACTTGCTTAATAGCACAAAAGCATCGCTCTTTAATTGAGAGGCAAAATGGTTGATGTAGCAAATACAAAAGTATCACTTGGGTATCTTTGAGACTGGGCATGATGGAATGAATTTTATTTGAAAGAATAGAAGAATTACCTCACCTCACACAAAACCATGTGAAATCCTTAACTTTTCATGGGAGAAAAATAATATTCCTTATTGTAAAAACTGTGTCAATTTACTTTTCTTTATGTTGGACTGTGGACTGTTTTAAAACCAAGGACTGTAAAAAGAATTGACAGGTGACTGGAACTCAATATGAGTTGGGTTTACACTGTCGATTTGCAAGCAATGGAGAAGGTGATGGCACAGCACCAAGGAGTGTATACAAAGTGAGATTCGCCCAGCAACAGAGCACTGATTGGTTGTGCAGTTGTGACCAGTCTGGATACCAGAGGTCAGAGATCATCAGCCTGATGACAACTCTCTGATTGGTTCCTGCACAGTTGAGTAGTGGTGTGTTTGTGAATGGTACAGAGTGAGATGGTCTCCAGACTGAGAGAAACAGGTTGTGTCTTTAAGTCCCTGTGGTAAACATAACTGAAGCCTGAAGAAAGCCAGTTATTTTCTCCCACCAGTTGCTGTAAGCTGTTGCCATTAACCAGTAAGAAAGAGACTTTGTAATTCTGTACCAATCACCCTGTGCCAGCTGTGAAGTAAAAGAATCCAATCGGAAGATTACAGAACAGAAGATCTTGGAAATAAAAAGAACATCTCATCAAGTCCAATGAACTGGTGCTATTGAACTGTGCTTCCCCAGTGTTTTTTTCCCTTCACCCATAACACCATTTTATTTGTATGCCTGTACATGTGAGTAGAGACTTTAAAAGAGGGTTAGAGTCTTAACTAATAAGGTTATATATTGATAGTTCTTAGCTTTGTTTACCTGTGGCTAAAACACACTTATTTGTCATAAACAGTGGTTCTTGTTAAGTACTAACACATGATCTGTGTTTTCTGCTAACCTGATTCCATTGGATAGGTAAAATGAAACAAAGAACTGTGGATGTTGAAATCTGAAACAAAAACAGAAATTGCTGGAGAAGCTCAGCAGGTCTGGCAGCATCTATGGAGAAAAAGCTGTGCTCATGTGGAGTCCACAGACCCTTCTTCAGAACATCTGTTCTGAAGTGAACTCAGCTTTTTCTCACAAATGCTGCCACACCTGCTGAGTTTCTCCAGCCATTGCTGTTTTTGTTCCATCAGGCAGATAAATTGGGGATAATTTGAGCATTTGATTAGATCATTAACTGTTATGGTGACCCAGAAAGCAGTGGGGCTCGACAATCTGAGTTCTTTGTCAAGTGGATTGTAACATTAAAATGGGAAATAAAATGGGAACGATCCAAGAATATAAGTGCGCGCCATCAGAAAAATAACCATAACAAACGTAACTGAACTAAAATAACCATTCTCATTCTGCTTAGCAAATGACTGACTAGGATCCACATCGTTGGTGATAAGTAATGGATTTGATTATCAGCTTTCTCCCTTCCCCCTGCCCCAAACACATTCTCTGATGCATTGTCTATCATCGATAGTTTCCACAGTTACCTATCCATCACCCTCATCTCATCCATTGGCCTCTGACCTGTTCAGCTTGTCGAAGTTGTATTTCCAAAGCCCTCTGCATCTCCTCATGCTGCTGCTTTCTTCGCTGTTCTTCTTCCTTTAGAAGTGTTTCTGCCTGACGCTGGGCCTGGGAAGAAGGAGGGGAAAATAATCAAACAGTTTATGACAATACAATAGCTTCCATGATTTAAGATGAAATGAAGTATTCTTTTTATTTTGAACTCAAGGTTATCACGTGGCACTAGTATTCATAATGGAGCCATGCCTTGACCAATGCGACCGCATTTCGGGTTAGGGTTAACTTTCAGAGGTTCTGCAGTTCTACCTTTGACCATAAGTTAGGGTCAGGCTTAGAGATGCTAAAGGAGGAAGAGAGAATTAAATAGATAAAGGTATTGGCTTTTGGGCCAGAAGAGTCATTTCAGCCTTTCAGCAAATTGTTTCATTGCTCCAATGGAGACCCAAGGTGAGCCCTGCCAGAGTTTTAGACGTTATGCAATGTTTGTCAAAGATGACACGGAAATGGGAGTTCACTGTGTTGAAAGTTATATGTTTAACTTTATACAATTTCTGCAATTCTGCGAATGGCTTTAGTTATATAAGTTTCAAAATATTATTAACTGAAAACAGCATTCATTGCCTACCCCCTCACCACTCACCCACGTCAACTTTCTCTCTCACTCTCAGTTTTTCTGAGGTCCAAGCTTGTGAATGACATAACTCCTTCAAACACATTCATGTGCGAATCCTGATCATGTTGTCAGGTTGTCCATTCATGGACCTCATCCGATGCCCATATGTGCACACTTCCAGCAGGATCCTTGATGAGGGTCCTAAACCGGTCTTCCTTCCTCTAAACCTGGAATCCTTTGGCCATTTGTAGCACTTGTCAGAAGACCAACTCATTCAGCACTGACCCGGTAAGTGAACCAAAAGTACCCTGGTCACTCACTGAATAATCTCACTGAACCTGTGGGAAACTGTCAAAAAAAAGCTACTTGGGCACCTCAAAGTTAATATTTATTCTGAGAGACAAAAGGAAGAAAATGTCCAAAATGTTCTTAATTAAGGCATGAAGGGATATACTATTGTCATCTTGCTACCCATTCATTTGTACCTGTAATGGAATTAGCTATACTACCACATATGGAAGACACTATTTTTACCAGTTAAAATGATTTGAAAAGTCTTTCAAGGGCCCTTCTGGGGCTTGCAGTTGAGAAATAGTTGGAATAAATGCTGTCACTGATTCAGGTACTGTCACAGGGATTTATAGGACAGGATTATTTGGATGGCAATGTTTCCCATCCCACTAACTGAAGACTGAAGGGGACTCACTATCACAGCTGTCCCATAGCCATTTAATACACTGGAGTGTTAATGGGCTGGAACCAGGACTCATTACACTAACTTGATCAATAATCACCTTACTGTGGCTTCATCTTACCACATGATTCTACAGATCGAACAAGTTTATGGGTTGCTGCATCACTTCCTGTGATGATATACACTGTATCATTAGAAGGTTACACAGTTAAAATTAACCCCTTTTACATCTCTCTGTAGTCCACCCAGAGACCAATTCTGACCCATTTATACTATGTCTTCCTCCAGGACTCCAACTTCCATTTCATTTCACAGCAATAACTGATGCAGCAGGTTCACAAGATTATCTGCTACTTTGGGGGAGATTCAAGATCTGATTCATGCCTGTGGAATCGGCAGAAGACTCCGTTTCGGCAGAAGAGTTGTCATTTGGATTTGTCAATTGATTCAGAATCTGTGATCTGTTCTAGTGCATAGTTGACTGCTTCTGTGTGCTAAATATTGTACATCTCACTGTACCATTTTCTGTTTGGGTGAGGTAGGGCTGTGCACGTTGTGTCTGTTCAACTATTTGTCCACAGTAAGCTTTGCCTCGAGTCAGGGGTGATGGCCTAGCGGTATTATCGCTGGACTGTTAATCCAGAGACCCAGATCACATTCTGGGGACCCAGATTCGAATCCCGCCACATGGTGGAATTTGAATTCAATAAAACATCTGGAATTAAGAATCTAATGATGACCATGAATCCATTGTTGATTGTCGGAAAAACCCATCTGGTTCACTAATGTCCTTTAGGGAAGGAAATTGCCATCCTTACTTGGTCTGGCCTACATATGACTCCAGACCCAGAGCAATGTGGGTGACTATGAACTGCCCTCTGGGCAATTGGATGGGCAATAAATGCTGCCTGGCCAGCGACTCCCACATCCCATTAATGAATGAAAAAAAGAAGCTGAGCTGCCTTTTCCTGGTTGGAGTTCATAGAATCCCTACAGTGTGGAAACAGGCCATTCAGCCCAACAAGTCCATACTAACTCTTCAAAGAGTCTCCTACCCAGACTCACCCCTCTTACCTATCCCTGTATTTCCCATGGCTAACCTACTTAACCTACACATCCCTGACACTATGGGTAATTTAGCCAATCCACCTAACCTGCACATCTTTCGACTGAGAGGGGAAACCGGAGCACTCGGAGGAAACTCATGCAGACACTGGGAGAATGTGCGAACTCCACACAGACAGTCGCCCGAAGGTGGAATCGAACCAGAGCCCAGTGCTCTGAGGCACCAGTGCCAACCACTGAGCCATTGTGGTAGTTTGACTATTTTGCAACATTTGCCATTGGTCCTCTTGCTGTTTAACTTGCTAATGAGACATTATGAAATAACCTTTGATGTTACAGGTCCCTCCAGGTCTCTCATTCTAATCCATTATACTACACTAACCATTATTACCTCTTTTAGTAGTTCCAGTTCCTGCAGTTTTCTTTCCTTCTCCTCTTGGAGCTGTTTGAGTCTCTGAAGTTCTTCCTCCTTTGCTGCTTTCTGTTTCTCCCGAAGTGCTCGCTGATCATGCCTTTTCTGTTTCAAATCCTTGTGCAAAGATTTCTTCCCCTCTGCCTGTAACCGGATTGCTGTCTGAATGGCTGAAGGCAAACACCAGAAAGGAAACAAAATGGCATTTAGGCAGGTCCTTAAAATTCAAAACAAAACACAAAGATACCAAATCATTGTCCTCAGTCTTTTCCCATTTTCTCCACTTTTGCACATGTGGCAGTAAGGAGATAACTCCACAGCCAAGCCAGATGTTGTCTTCACCTGATTTTCACACAGGGCTTCTTGCTAATCATCAACATCAATGAAGAATTAGAAACTTGGCCAAATCTGTTCTGCTTCCTGACCTAGGGGACTGAGTATGATGTTTTCCCAGATATAAGCAAGTAAAAGGTACTGAAAGGATGCCTACACTGTTGCAATCGCACACTGGAATGAGTGTTTTGAGAAGAGGGACATGTTGTTAAAAATACAGCTGAAAATTAAAAACCCTTTACACTTCATTTTGGAATTAAACGGTATCAGATAACAGTGGATCTGTCAATTGGCAGAGGGTTTCCAGTTTCCACGTTCTGGGCTATTGGTAACTGCTGATAGCTCTTGACAAAATTATTCAAATACAATCTTTACATTCTAAGGTGAACTTACAAACAACTCATTTTCAATCAATCCTTTTACCTGTCGTCCATTCCTGCCGCTGCTTTGTGTCTGATGCACTCATCTCATAAGTTCTTGATGGTGTCTTGACGCAGAACATGCATCTCTTCCCATCTCGGTCAGATAAAATCTTAACAATAAATACATTAAGCATAATACATATTTGAACTACAAGCTGAAGCAGAATTTTCTATAAATTATGAAAAGAGTTGAATTAGCTTATTTTGTAGAGCTTCTGACCCACAGAACAATTGCAAATGATTCACTGGATAATTGTGTTTACCTCCACACAACAGTTCCTGTCCAGAGCGATACTGCCTTTCTTTTCTTTCCGGTCTTCACTCACATAGTAACAGAGGATACTTGGCTTCAGGATGAACCATCGCTCAGTCCAGTTGCGCCTCAACTGGCCCTTCTTCCATAAGTAACCCTGGCACAGCACAAGGAAACAGATCAGAAATAATACCATTAACAACTATTGTCCAAACTGAACTAAATATGATTGAAGGCAAGGTGAAACAAATATATCAGCAGAAAGAAAAGAATCCTGCTGACTACGTTATGTATTGAGGTGGCACAGTGGCTAGCACTGCTGCCTCATGGTGCCAGGGACCCAGGTTCGATTCCACCCTCGGGCAACTGTCTGTGTGGAGTTTGCACATTATCCCCGTGTCTGCGTGGGTTTCCTCTGGGTGGTCCGGTTTCCTCCCACAGTCCAGGTTAGATGGATTGGCCGTGCTAAATTGCCCATAGTGTCCAGGAATGTGCAGGCTAGATAGATTAGAAAATGTGGGCTTACATGGATAGGATGGCGGGGTAGGTAGGTCTGGGTGGGATGCTCTTCGGGGGTCAGTGCAGACTTGACGAGTCGAATGGCTCGAGGCTGGGAGGTGGCTCTGGAATCACTTCAAAGTCTACGCTGGGCAGAAAGACCGCCACAATGGGCTGAGAGACCGCCATGCTGGGCCAAAGACCAACACGCGAGGCTGGGGGATGCCTTGCTGGGTGTGCGCTGAGGCCAGGCATCTGAGGCCACACTGAGCCAAGAAGAAAGAAGACAGAAGAACAGAAACCACACAAGAGAGAAAGAAAAAGAAACGGACGGAGTGGATGAGCTCCGGCTGAAGTGTCCTACTCTGCCGCCATCTTGAAGTGTATGGAGGAAGGTGTGTGCAAAAGAAGACACAGACTTGCCGCAAAGAGATATAGAGAGGCTAAATGAGAGGACAGCAAGATGGTAAATGGAATATAACGGAGATTATTTGATGACCCTTTTCTGATGAAGGGTCTAGGCCCGAAACGTCAGCCTCTCTGCTCCTATGATGCTGCTTGGCCTGCTGTGTTCATCCAGCCCTGCACCTTGTTGTCACGGAGATTATTTACTTTGGTTATAAGAATTGAAAAGCAGAATACTTTTAAAAAGTCACAAACCTGTAAATGCTGATACTCAGAGACAAATGGTGTGCTTGTACAAGGAACTCAAACCTATAGTGTAAATTATAAGGACAAATGGTATGTTGCACATTTTGCAATGGGATTACATTACAGGAATAAAGACGTCTCACTACAACTATACAGGGCTTTGGCGAGACCACATCTGGAGCAACGTGTGCAGTTTTAAGCCCCCACATTTAGTGAAAGATATATTTGGAGGCAGTACAGTGAAAGTTCACTGGATTGGTCCTTGGAATGAAAGGGTTGCCCTATGATGCAAGGCTGATATTTTCCAGAGTTTGGAAGAATGAGATCTCATTGAAGTATGTCAGATTCTAAAGGGGGACTGAGGGGCTAGAGGCTGTTATGAGATTGTTGCTGATGGTTGGGGCATCAAAGGCACAGAAGTGTAGTCTCAGGATTTGGGGTGATCATTTAGGCTTGAAATGAGGAGACATTTTTCACTTAAAGAGCTGCGAATCATTTGAATTCTCTACTGTAGAGGGTTGTGGATACTCTATCAATGACTACACCCAAGGCTAAGATTAACAAATCATTCGTCTCTCAGAGAATCAAGGGATATCTGGATCAAGCAGAAAAGAAGCACTGAAGCTCAAGGGCAGGTATGTTGAGGCCACCAAATAGTGGTGGTAAAGTAGGGCACAGTATAAATCAGGAAATTATAGGTTCAGATAATAAATGCAGTAATCATCGGTGACTCAATCTACATAGAAAATTTACGACCTAGTGAGTACCAATATGTATAGGATGAATTCCTGTGTTATGCACGAGATGCTTTCCTAGAGCAGTTTATTCTGGAACCAGAGATAGTAGGAACTGCCGGTGCTGGAGTCTGAGATAACAAGGTGTGGAGCTTGATGAACACAGCAGGCCAGGCAGCAGAGGAGCAGAATTTTCTGAAGGATTCTGAGCCTAAATGTCAGCTTTTCTGCTCCTCTGATGCTGCCTGGCCTGCTGTGTTCATCCAGCTCCACACCTTGTTATCTTATTCTGGAACCAACTAGGGAACAGGCTATTTTAGATTTAGTTTTATGCAATAAGAAAAAAAACTAATTAAAAATCTTATTGTAATGGAACCTTCAGGGAAGAATGATCACAATATGTTGTCATTTTACATTAAGTTTGAAAATGATGTAGTTCAATTCAAAACTCGGGGTCATACATTTAAACAAAGGAAGCTAAAATAGTATGAAGGGCAAGGTGTGAGAAAGTTAACGAGGGACAGTAGCAATGCAGAAATAAAACTGGCTGAGCAATAGGCTGAGCAATGGTTAATGGATATTTTTCAGGCTGGAGGAAGGTTTGTAGTGGAGCTTCGCAGGGGCCAGTATGGAATCATTCCTTCCCCAGGTACAAACAATACATACATATGATCGAGACCACAGCATGCAGGGGACAATTTCAAAATTTGTGAAGATACGACACTTCTGCACTGGAACAGTTCTGTAAATCTGTGAAGGTGGCTGTGATGGATTGGGTGCACACGTTAAAAGGCATGATAGCAGATGGACAACATCAATATTTGAAGAATCGTTACATGGCTCTCAACAAATACACATTCATTTCAGGCTCAAAAAAACCCAAACATGAATAGTGAGTCAACATCAGAAGGTCTAAGACCAGGGAACTTAATTTCAACATAAAGGGTAAGCCATTTAGGACTGAGAAGAATTTCTTCACTCATATGGTCGTGAATCTTTGGAATTCTCGATCTCAAGAGTGTTGTGGAAGCTGAGTCATTGAGTATCGAATTTAAGACAGAGATCAATAGATTTCTAGATACTAATGATGTCAAAAGAAATGGGATATTGTGGGAAAATGGTATTAAGGAAGATGATCAGCCATCAACTAGAATGGTAGAACAGGCTCTTGGGCTGAATAGCCTACTCCTATGTTTCTAAGAAATTTAGTGGATGTAGTGTGAACACTCATGTGAACTCTATTAACAAAATATATAAACAAATGTAAACTCTTGAAAATTCAGTACTGAATACAACAAAACCCCTGGTAAAAGCGTGCGTCCAGAGTAAAATTCCTTATTGTATAGTGGAAGGGGTTGACCTTATGGTGAATGTAGCTTGCATAATAGATTTTTTATATATCATTATATGTCATTATATGTTTTATTTATGTTTTCATGTACAAAACTGTGAATGTTTGAATTAGTTTTCAATTAGACTAAATGAACAACTTACCCATACTGTGCGCAGCATGAGATACCTTGCTTGCAGGATAACTATAAAGTCATCTATTATTAGAGTCAAGCAGAAACATAGATCCAATTGCCTGTGCTTGTGATTCAAAGTTTGCGGTTCCGGTAAGATTTATGATACAAATCAAAAAGAGGTGCAGTGGTTTTTGTCAAGATTAATCTTTAGCAGCTCCCTAATGGAGGACTCTGCTCTCTCTGCATTGTTCCCATGATGCGAACTAAGCTGCTGCTAGAGGACCATGAGATCAGTGAAGGACAGTCTTTGGTCATGCACAAAACTTGATGGTCTTCCAGTGCAAAGATCTGTCCACAGTCGAGTGTTACAGATTGGTACACTCCGTGATCCAGGACTTTCTACCACAAGACACGTTAAAGCCTGGGGCTGAATAAGAACAGAAGAAACAGGAGCAGCAGTGGGCCATTCGGCCCCTCAAGTCTGCCCTGCCTTTCAATAAGATTGTGGCTGATCTACCACAGGCTCCAACTCCTCTTTCGTGTTAGTTCATCACATGCCCTATTCAAAATCTACCTAACTTCTCTTCAGATACTTTCTGTGATTATATCCTCCATAACACTCTCACGCGGAGAAATGCAGACATTTGCTACCCTTTCAAAGAAGAATTCCTTCACATCTCACTTGTAAATGAGTGTTCCCTTTATTCTGCAACTGTGCTTCCTAGTTAGAGAATCCCCCACTAGTAGAAGCGTGTTCTCAATAATCTACCCTGTCAAGTCCCCTCAGAATCTTGTGTCTATCAATAAGATCACCCCTTGTTCATCTAAACTCTAAATGAATGAAGGCCTAATCTGTTTAAGCATTCTTTATAATTGAACTCCCTTTTCTTTGTTTGGAAAAAATGCCAATATCAAAGGCCCTCTTCCCACTGTATTTCAAAGGGTTGGAGTCCGTGTGAAGTCCTTTGGGCTGTAGGCAGAACAAGCTTTGACTTGAATGATAAATTTATGTTGCAAATTTAACATGTATTTCTAAGTGTAATAAAGCAGTTCAGAATGCCACAAACTGTTTTGTAAGAAACTAAATTTCACTTTACAGAGGAGCTCAAATTTGGCATAATATCACGTATCTAATACAAATGTTATACAAATGTGAATACAGTATATTTTTTGAGGAAACAAAAATTCCAAAGCACTTACTTGAAAATTACATACCTGCTTAAGTACATCCTCAATAATTTCTTGGTAGACCTCCTGCACTGCCATTGTGACAGTCTCCTTTTCAATCCCCCTGGTAAATCTCCCAGAATTTACCCAGTCCAGAAACACCCAGACTGTAATTCCATTCTGCTGCATGGGCTCTTGGGTGAAGAAGTCATCCAGCTCCCCCGCACACCACTCCACATTCATCTCTGTGCAGATTTTCTTCAGCAAATATTCCACCTACAGGGACAAGAAAGAATAATGCCACTCAGACACATGGCTCAGAAAAGATAAGCACTGCCTTTCAACCACTTCTTGATGACTGGAAGGATCTTAGCTTTTTGGAATATAGTTCCGTGACTGCACTGGAAGAAATATCACAGTATAAATCCAAACATCCCCAGATTCATAGAATCATCGATTCCCTGCTGGGCATTCCCTGCACTGACCCTTTGAAGAGCATCTCAACCACACCCAATCAAAATCTGAAATAAAAACAGAAAATCTTCTTGAAGAATGGTTACAAGCACAGGTCAGAGGCTAAGAATAATGCAGCATATAATTCACCCCCTGACTCTCCAAATCCTGTATAACATCTGTAAGGTACAAGTCAGCAGTATGATGGAATACTTCCCATTTGCCTGGATGGGTGCATCTCCAACAACACGCAAGAAGCTTGACACCATTCAGCACAAAGCAGCCTGCTTGAGTGGCACTACATTCACAAACATCCACTCTTTCTACCACCGATGCTCAGTAGCAGCAGTGTGGACTACCTCCAAGATGCATTGTAGAAATTCACCAAAGATCCTCTGACAGCACTTTCCAAACCCATGACCACTTCCATCTAGAAGGACAAGGGCACAGATAAATGGGATATGTGCTCCAATTCACACACCATCCCAGCTTGGAAATATATTGTAAGTTCCTTCACTGTCGCTGGGTCAAAATCCTGGAATTCCTTCCCTCAGGGCCTTGTGGGTCACCTACAGCAGGTGGACTGCAGCAGTTCAAGAAGGCAGGTCATCACCACCTTCAGGGCAGTATGGTGGCTCAGTGGTTAGCACTGGTGCTTCACAGCGCCAGGGACCTGGGTTCGATTCCACCCTTGGGCAACTGTCTGTGAGGAGTTTGCACGTTCGCCCCATGTCTGCGTGGGTTTCCTGTGGGTGCTCCGGTTTCCTCCCACAATCCAAAGATATGAAGGCTAGGTGGATCATCCATGGGAAATGCAGGGTTACAGGGATAGGGTATGGGGTTGGGTCTGGGTGGGATGCTCTTTGGAAGGTCTGTCTGGACTCAATGGGCTGAATGGCCTGTTTCCACACCAAAATCTCAAGGGCAACCAGGGACAGGGAATAGGCAGCACTGGCTGGGCCAGCAGTAATGTCCCACAAGTGAACAAAGAAAACAGTTGGGCTCAAAATATTAGCTCTGTTTCTCTGTACACAGATGCTGCAAGACCTGCTGAGGTCCACCATTAGTTTGCATTAATGTTTATGCTCCACAGGAACCTGCTACCTCCTGTATCCGTGTTTACTTCTACTCAACCAATATTTATTACAACTGCACTGGATAAAATTATTTTTCAAATTAAGGACCTGAAAAACAACCCTCCACCATCACTCTCTGTCTCCTGCAATTAAGCAATTTTGTATCCAATTGGCAAGCTCACCCTGAATCCCATGTGATCTAACTTTACTAATTAGTCTACCATGTGTCATTAAGGTGGCACCATTTGTAGATTTTAAAATTTATAAATTGTGGAAGAAAAATCTAGAAAGATTGTCAAAAGAAATGTGAGGGAAGTAACAAGTTCACCTAATTTGAGGTCTTGAATAAGGCAGCCAAGAATTGATGCATTCACCAATTATTAATGTTTCGACCAAGAATAAACTGTAAAGTTATATTTTTGGATTGCAACAGAATTCAGAAACACGGCTTAACCAATTCAACTAAATTACAGATTTGTGTTAAATATATGGTGGAGACTCAGAATTTGAGAGATTCTGGGGGTGAAACTGAATAATTGCCTTGGGCAGCTGACGCATGGGAACATACATAAGAACATAAGAACTAGGAGCAGGAGTAGGCCGTCTGGCCCTTCGAGACTGCTCCGCCATTCAATAAGATCATGGCTGATCCTTTTGTGGACTCAGATCCACTTACTCGCGTTCTCACCGTATCCCTTAATTCCTTTATTGTTCAAAAAAAAAAAACTACCTTTTTTTTAAAAAACATTTACTGAAGTAGCGTCAACTACTTCACTGGGCAAGGAATTCCATAGATTAACAACCCTCTGGGTGAAGAAATTCCTTCTCAGTTCAGTCCTAAATCTGCTCCCTGTAATCTTGAGGCTATGCCCTGCCTTAAACTACCATTACTTTACCGGTATTGGGTCAAAATCCCGAAACTCCTTACTTAACAGCAAAGGTCCCTATCCCATATCAATCACTACAATTCAGGAAGGGAGCTTACCACCATTTCAAATGAGAATGGGAATGGAGAATAAGTATTGACTTTGCTAGTGAGGCTCACATTCCATGAATGAAAAAAAAGCTTCATGTTATAAGTAGCCATGTTAAAACCTTCATTTTGATTGATGCTTCAGAAAGTGAAGGAGTACCTTTCTCTATAAGGTAATGGATAAACAAAGAAATGAAGAATGCTTCTGTGTTTTCTTAGGAGCAAGTTGTTTCAATGTCAATCAGGAATGCATTTTGTCATTCATTACAAAACTGTACATATGGACTGTGATAAGGACTGAATTTCTGAAAGACTGGGAAAGTTTTTGATTCCAGTCTCAAGAACAGTGCAATGGAGGCATCTTGATTGAAAATGCTGCTACCTGGCAGACTGATACTATCTTGGAAATTTGCACATCGTCGCCCTCATTATATCCCCTGTGGAAATTTATTTGGGCTGAGGTCCCTTGCTCCCTACCTTCCTACCTTCCTGCTTCTCTCATTTGCTGAATGTACTGTGCTGAATTTCCACAAGTGTTGGATGCATTTTTGTGCCATACCCAAAGAATGTCCCCTATGTCCACACAAATACGCTTGCCATGAGGAATTACTGATAGCAAATCATAAACCGCACCCCTGGCTCACTTTGTCCTTCAAAACCCACAAAGGCTAAGTGCACTCTCGCAGCAACTTTACCAGGGAGCAGACTGGAAAGAGACAGCTCAGGGGAGATATTTCCTCTGATTTCAGTCACAGTACGTGTAGAAAGTGTATTGTTAGTCTATTATAATGCATAAAAATATTATGAGATTTAGCAGTTTCACATTTTATGAACTCAATCTGCTAGTCTTGTCATGGTTTTATATTTTAGTTTAGTTTCTTGGATATGTTTCAGTTGTTGCTACTGTTACTAATATATAAAAATATAAAAATATAAAAATATACCTCATATATAGAAGTGTGAAATACGGACTTTTCATACAGGTGATTTTAGAATGCCCACATCTCTGTTATTTGTACTTGCTTCTTAGCTGCATTGAGAACTGAATATGCTGTAATAAGCACCAGGGGCATATTATAAGCTGTGAGACCAAAACCGAAGTTCATCATGTGCCCATTCCCTGGAAAACTGGACACAAAAGCCTGAGGATTGTAATGTAGTCACTGTACCCAACAGCACATTTTAATGTAGACAAACGGTGCAAGAATGATATTGTATTATAAGCCAATACACACAATTAAAAGCTATACAAGTCAATCTATTACTTATTCTTGCATTGTGTTAGTCACTTTCAACCGCGTAAGCATGCTTTTACGTCTTTCCAGTTAATCAATGTAAACTGATTGTGGCAAGGTCCCGTGCACTGGATTGGGCATCAAACAACAAATTGGTAATTTGACTGAAGAACTGCCTTTTGGGTGCGAGGACAGGAAGGCAGACTGGAAAGGTATTGGTGGTAAGCTACAGAGTTTTGCTGACAGCCAGCCTACAAGGAATGTTGAACTGTGTTGGAGCTGCCAGGGAACTGTGTCCCTTGTTTCTGTGGGCATAAACATACCTTTGCCACTCCAGCACTGGCGATTAGAGATAACACTGCAGACAACTGCCTGTGTTTTTCTTCAAGCCTAACGTTGGAGAGGCCAGAGAGAATACATCTTGGTAGTGTCTTCAAACAGGACTAAGATATAATTAAAAACCATTCAAGGGGCCAAAACCAGATATTACCTTAGATATCATATCATAGCAAGGAATTTTGATAGAATTGAGAGACTCCAGGAAACATAAGTGCAATCCCTAATTGCTCACATACATCACTAAGGGGCAATCTATACCTCTGTATATGAAAACAATCACATCTTTGGACAGCTGGTGATTAAAGTCTCCAGCACAAACTTTTAATACACCGTCTTCCTATAAAAGAGTTGACAACTTGCACTGTGCCAGCATCTACTGCCCCGCCCTTAACTGCCCCTTGACCTGAGTGGTTTGGTAGGGTCAGTTCAGAGGGCAGTTATGAGTCAACTACATTGCTTTGGTCTGGAGTCACATGTATGCCTGACCAGATAAGGATGGCAGATTACCTTCAATAAAGGACATTCATGAACCACATTTGTTTTTAAACAATTCACAATGGTTGCCATTAGATACCTGTTCTCATTTATGATTTTTATTGGATTCAGAAGAAATCCAACAGCGAATTTGGGAACAAACCTCTGAAACCCAAAGAGTGGCGAGAATGTGGAACTTCCTACCGCAATAAGTGGTTGAAATCTGCTCTATAGATTGTCTTAAGGGGAAGTTAGATAAGCATTTTAGGGAGGGAGAAAGAAATAAATGGATACAATGATACATTTAGATGAGAGAAGACAGGAGTCAGTTAGAGCTGGTTGTAAATACCAGCACAGACTGTGCAAAAGGGTAGTTTCTCTTCTATGTACTGTATGCTATGTATGTAATCTAAGGAACATAAACTTTTAACCTCAGTAGGTCAGTCTGCACCTGTGGACAGCACAGAAAGATTCATGTTTCAGGTATATCCCTTGACAAGTTTGGAGGATTATAATTATGAACAGCAATTAAAAAGTAAGAGAATAAAAGGAAAGGAAAATGAATTTCTAAAGGCAAACTGAGGAAGGTACAAACTAAAACCATGTTGAAGATAGGAACAAAACAAGAATTTTTTGCATCACTTCAGAAGAGGTGATGTGGAAGTGCCAGTCTTGGACTGGGGTGGACAAGGTCAGAAATCACATGACACCAGGTTATAGTCCCAA